TTGTTACTACTAGTAAGGCACTTGTTACTACTAGTAAGGCACTTGTTACTAGTAGTAAGGCACTTGTTACTAGTAGCGTCCTTTTACTGAGAAGTGAACGGGTGGTGGTACCTCTGTTCTTGTTTTCTAGGTAGTTTTGGACTTGAAACGTTCCTTAGATGCGGCTTTCTGAGACCATGGGGTTTCAACATGTTTTAACACGATGTTCGTGTCAAACTAATGCACCTACAAACTTACACAACCGCCTAAGACAGCCTACACAGTTCACAATATTCACAAGGACTGACACGTGCCACACCTCTGAAGGTGCTTGTGGCTCCGGATGGAATAGCATCAAAAGCCGTCGCTGTTGTTCTGGAGTAACATGAGGAATAGTTGCATTGCAGCCAACGCAATCCTCCCCTGCAAACACTTGACTTGAGAAACTTGAAACGTGATTCTATGTGCTTTCTTTGGTCGATGCCTTAAATGCTTCTGGAACAAGAGGCTGTCTTAACTACCCATTGTTGCTAGGCATCATGGAATGGATTGCTCTAATTAACGATATTCTCTTTCATCATTCCCCTTACTACAAAGCTACCTTTATGAGGCCTTAGGTCTCGAATGGCTTGTGTTTTGTCTGAAATGCACCAACTATTACGTCACCGAAGTAGTCTCGATATCTCATCGAACCTCTCCTTGACCTTTCTCCGACGTGTATGTGCTCTGTCTGGAAGTGCCACAGCGACTCTCAAGCTGGATTAAACATTTGAGAAAACCATCTCTGCCATGTTTTTCCAAAAATAGAATAGCGATGCACTTATTACTAGTAGCGATGGCCTCCAACTCAATAGCGATGATGGCCTCCAACCTAGTAGTTTCTTGCTACTAGTAGCGATGCACCTGTTACTAATAGCATTTACTAATAGCATTTTCTCTTGCATGTTCTTTCCTTTTGCGTTCTGCTTTTGGCCTGCCAAAGAACAAAGCGCTGCCCAGTACCAAAGTGGCGCGTGCGCAAAGCCATGGAGCTTGGACAGTCGCTTTAGACGAATGAAGGCCGGATCCTGCAGAAAGGATCAGCGAGACCACTCGTTCAAAAAGAAAGTTCTCTTGTTACTACTAGCTTATTGCTACTAGTAGTAATGCCCTTGTTACTAGTAGCTTCAAAAGTATCGAATTGCATCTGAAACAAATACTTCAATTCTGGTGTGCTTCTCACTCGTCCTTTCTGTTTAGAAGGCCTTTGGGGTTTTTGTAAAAGCGGTGTTAGCTCTAGCTGGTTAGCACGCGAGGCAACAGATCCTTTCATCACGAAGCGGTCGGAGAACAAAAGCAAGACGGACCTGAGGAATATATAAAACAGTAAACATCGACTAAATGTTGTGTCTATTTAACCAAAAATCACTAGTAGGTTGGA